ACAACACCCACAAAATCTCCAGAAATATTGTTAAATCTTCCACCTGTAGATCGAGCCGGGTGCAGGGCGGTCAGGTTAAATACGATCCAGCCAAGGAGAGGCCTAAGATTCGGATACGCAAAAATAATTGAAACTCTACCGGACAATCTACCATAAATAGATTATACCTCTACTCTGTTTAGACAACAAATTCTGCATAAGAATCCCAGAGAGGAGCGAATGGGAAGGGGCCACAGACTTAAACGCAGGGTCTACGGCCATATAAACAGATGACTCCAAACTTAACAAATGTGTGGGTAGCGGGATTTACTCTGACGAATTCGCTCTAAACCTCAGTTTTCGCCATAATGGAGGCTCATAACCTCCGTCTCGCCAGGACGGCATATCGCCACTTACTGACAGCCAAGCTGCTATCAAATCTCTCAATTCTAACGGTACAACGTCCAAAGTAGCCATAGAATGTAGGAAGACTCAACCTGCTAGCATCAAAATACTCCTTGACTGTTGTATGGGACCCTGGATACACGGACATTCCTGGCAACTGGTTAGCCGATGAGCTGGCAAGGGGGGGGACGGAAGTCAATTCTGCTCAGAACGCGGGCATATCTCTAATCCAAACTACCAGGTAATTTTGGCCAAAGACTGATGTTAGGCGATCCATAGCTCTCACTCGGATGGGCCGCTTATCTCTCAGATAAGTAGTCCGGGTAATCACCGGACACTGCCTGATGGGCACACACGGAAAAATGTTAGGATACCGACGATTTTTGTCGCAGTTTTCCCGCCCTGGCAAACGCGCGCAAAACATTCTGCAGCAAGTACTTTCTAGATTGTTAAGCCGACTTTAAATCGGCGAACGTCCTCGACCACCCACCCACCACCACCACTCTGCGCGGGNAATGTTAGTATACCGACGATTTTTGTCGCAGTTTTCCCGCCCTGGCAAACGCGCGCAAAACATTCTGCAGCAAGTACTTTCTAGATTGTTAAGCCGACTTGAAATCGGCGAACGTCCTCGACCACCCACCCACCACCACCACTCTGCGCGGGGCAGCCACTCTAACTTACCCTACCCTACATTTAAAACAAAAAAACACTTATTAACAGACTTAAAAAAGGAGGAGGTTATCAATTCGTTGGAATATATATTTTTTTAATGTACAGTGGCGATCAAAGATGGATGAATGGTTTTCAAGCTAAAATTTGTTTGATGTTTTTTTCATGCTTTAACAAAAACTATATAAATCACACTTTCAAACTTTATACAGAACTCAAAAAAATTCCAAAAATTTTATATAAATTTCGAGCTTTTGAACCAGAATTTTTAGAAATTTTTTGGGTATGCAGTTAGTATGCTTATGTCGACGACATCGACATCATCGGTAACAAAAACCGCGAAGTATGTTCTGCCTTTTCAAAGTTGGATAGGGAAGCAAAGCGAATGGGTGGTAAACGAGGACGCCGGCGCTCCAGCTCTGAAAGTATTCAACTCGGAANTGCTTATGTCGACGACATCGACATCATCGGTAACAAAAACCGCGAAATATGTTCTGCCTTTTCAAAGTTGGATAGGGAAGCAAAGCGAATGGGTGGTAAACGAGGACGCCGGCGCTTCAGCTCTGAAAGTATTCAACTCGGAACCCGCTGGTGGTAGCAGAGGAAGAGGGAGGCCCCCACTGCGATGGAAAGATCAGGTGGAGAAGGACTTGGCTTCACTTGGCGTTTCCAATTGGCGTCAGTTGGCACAGAGGAGAAACGACTGGCGTGCTTTGCTGAACTCGGCCAAAATCGCTTAGGCGGTAACAGCGCCAAAAAAGAAGAAGTTAACAAGCTTATAAAATTCTAGTAAAATAAGTGCAAGTTTTGATCGGCTGAAAAATCTCATTTGCGTTTTGCACTTTTTTCAATATAAACATGCATTTTTGTGGAAGAATTTGCGCAAGACCTTAATCGAAAAAAACAAAAGTCAGTCCCAGTTTTCCTAAATTTATCTTTTTATATGATAAAAGAAACCAAAAAAGCCGTAAGCAAAAAAATTTAAAATCAATTCGATTTTTAGCCGCTCAAAACTTGCACTTCTTTTACTAGAATTTTATAGGCTTGTTAACTGCTTACCCAAAAAGTTTCCAAAATTTTGGCTAAAAATCTCGAAATTTAGATACAAATTTGTGGAATCTTTCTAAGTTCTGTGTAAAGTTTGAAAGTGTGATTTATATAGTTTTTGTAAAGCATGAACCCTGTCGGAAAAATCAACCAAAACCAACACAAAAAATTTTAGCTTGAAAAATATTGTAATTATTAAAAATGAAACACCATTCATTCACTTTTGACCGCCACTGTATGTTACCGCATAACTTTGGACCACGTTAACCGATTTCTATACTTCTTCTTTTAAAGGAAAGGTGGTACCTCAATGGTCCCATACTAATTTAATTTAGATTCGATCAATATTTCATGAAGAAAGTGAAGCTAAGTCATTCTCCACCTGACCTTACCAAAGCAGAGGAGGGACTTACTTTTACTTTGCTCCCACCAGCGGGTACCGCACAGAATACTTTCATTCATACGACATAGCAAAGCCGCGTGCGCAGCCGCAGTTGTTGTTGTTGTTGTAGCGGCTACAACAACCCCGCCCAGGACGGTTGGTATCTCAGTCGTTGTCGTCAAGTTCCACTAACGGCAACCCTAGGAAGCGTGCAGCTTCTGTGGGGTTTGTCCACAGGGACAAGGCCGTTAGGGTTGTCGGGTTTTCCGGGCATGCGAAGAGATGTTTCGAGTCATGTGGGGTCTCTCCGCATGCCGGACACTCATTCGGCACATCCTCATTCAACCTACTCAAGTAGGAGTTCAACCTGCTGCAGTAGCCGGAGCGAAGTTGTGCGAGTGTTGTGCGTGTCTCCCGAGGCAGATGAAGCTCCGTCTCGTCTATGTCCGGGGGTGGTATGCCTAGAACGGCATTCACAGGTCTAGAGTCTACATAACTCGAGACTGAGTCCCTGTGAATGCCGTTCAGGGCCTGTCTGTAAGCTGTCGGGTCCAGAGGTTGCTTAATGAACCTCTGGACTTCGTCCGTCAGTTCATATAGATGCCTCCTGACGTGCCTTGGCGAGGGCTCCTCTGCAAGCAGCTGTCTGCTTGGGTGGCCACTTCTGTGGCTCCCGATCAGGAACTGATTGCAGAGCATTATATTATGCTCCTTTACAGGGAGCATTTGCGCCCCGCCGTGCAGGTGATGTTCAGGCGACATCAAGAGGCATCCTGTCGCTGTCCTGAGTGCGGTGTTCTGTACAGTTTGTAGCTTCGTTCACTGCGTCCTACTAGTCCCTGGCGACCACACTGGCGCTGCGTAGTTCAAAACCGGCCGGCCTATTGCCTTGTGTTGCCAGCAACGTTTCTTTGTCTTTGCCCCAAGTACTGCCGGCTAGCGACTTGAGGACCTTGTTGCGGCTCTGTTCTTTATTGACAATAGCGGTTGAGTGCGCAGAGAAGGAGCAGCCGCAGTATTTTTCTTTGCTGAACCATGCCAAGTAAAGTTCATTCAACTCCTCATTCCATCATCTCTTGTCATATATTTTCCGCAGAATCCTTTTCTCGAATGTTTGGGTGTTATCTTCCACGCTTCTTCGCCATACATGATGATAAACTATCAAGGCGCATCTACATGGATGCGGATAGACTATAAGTGTGAATTTGGTCTAGAGATGGGTAACTCAGCACTGAGCGGAGCTATTGAGCTGACGAGAAAATTGCGAAAATTTTAATAGTTGTGAAAATTTACCGACTAAAATTTAGTGAGTTTTACGGAAGAGAAGTGTACACAATTTTGACAGTTAAAATTCATTCTCACTCTTCCTGAATCGCAAAATGAAGAATGTACACAATTTTCAGTGTACACTTGAAAACTCACAGTTACAGAATAAAGCCCCAGCTCTCATAAGCTCTACAGCGCATGCCAACTCTATTCCTTTTAACAGCTCTACAGCGCTCATCAGCTAAGCAGTGCTAACTAACAGCGTTAACCAACTCTAGATTACTAAGGGTCAGTTTTTCAGTGCATGCCCGTAGTTTACACTCAGTTTAAACGCCCGATATGGCTGGTTTAAAGTAAGATCAGCCAATCAAATGTCAGCCAGCTGTTAAATTTAAACTCAGTTTACTTAATTTAAGTTTAAACTGGCACTGAAAAACTCGCCTTAAAAGAGTAAAGCAGGGATCATACGATTTGTACATTTTTACAATTACAGAGAGGTGTCGTTTAAAAAGTTGTTAATGAGCTGAACTCATTCTCGATAAGAATTTCAGGACAACCCGCCTCTGCGACTGCACGCGCAAGCACGTGTTTACAAAATGATGACGAATTGATTTTGTATGAAAACTCATTTATGTATGCCCAATTATTTGCATCAAATAAATATACCATAAATACAATAAGGCTCATCTAAATTGAATAATAAGTGTAGAAGTTTTAAGCACACACATTTAGCTAAAATTTTGAATCGCTATATCTCAGAAATGGTAATCCTTAGAAAAAAAATGTTATAGCAGTTTTTGTAGATAATTGTATGATCTACACTTTCGTCTCACCTATTCTTATGATAAACCGCACCATTTGGCTCAGAAATGCGAAAAAGCAATCTATGTGAACTTTGGCCTTGATTTTTTTTTTGCAGACGTGGAATCGATTTGGAATTTTGAAATTTCAATTATAATGGTGTTCGCAAAACTCGTACCAATTCTCAGCTTTTTGCGAATTGTTGTAAGCTTATCCCTATTTATTGAGCTAACTTTACTGGGCTATTAGGTTTAAATGGATTTTTTATAGAATAAACTGTATTTTTCTTAAAAATAAATAATTCAACATAAGTGACAACAAAATCACTTTGAAATGGAGGTGCTATTGATATTGCCAATACTGTATATGCTAAGTTCGTAGCTATTCGAATTCAGTGATGGCAACTTCGTAGATTTCTTTGATAGCCCTAATAAATAATTAAAAAGTATTTCTACTCAATCTTGTTTATTATAAAATTTTACAGTTTTACACTATTATCTTTTAAGAGAATATTTCGCCAAACACATAGATCAGAAACAGCAGATTGTCGTCCCGTCGGTATGCGGAGATCATAAAGCCTGAAATGTATTAACAAATAAATAAATAGCTGCTTTGTATTGAACTGATTTATCAAAACTAACCGACAAATAAGACCAACGCTTATATCGTCAGTCACCATTATTTTTAGCAAATTTTGTATGAGTTGTGGAGGCAGTAATTTGAGAACCGGCCGCACACGGTCACCACCACACTCAACCAGCAAGGATATAAAACGATATGCAAAATAAACTTTTGGTGTGAGCTCATCCGACGTAACGAATTGCTGTAATACTTTAAAAATATGCTGAATACTAGAATGAAGCGGTTCCTTTAGAGTTGCCGTTCGAATGCCATCACGGGCAGTTGTTGTGCTAGCGGCATCTGTGTTAACCCCAGCAGCGGATAAAAGTGGATGATTATCGCTGAGAAAATCATTTGAGCATGAGTTGTCTGAACCACCTTCTTGGTTGAGTTTACGCAATTTGGGTGCATTATTTATGTCCAAATCGCCACTGCTGCAATCGGCGTCGCTGTGTGNCAGCGGCATCTGTGTTAACCCCAGCAGCGGATAAAAGTGGATGATTATCGCTGAGGAAATCATTTGAGCATGAGTTGTCTGAACCACCTTCTTGGTTGAGTTTACGCAATTTGGGTGCATTATTTATGTCCAAATCGCCACTGCTGCAATCGGCGTCGCTGTGTGTGCGAGTGCGCTTATGTTGTAGGCTATCAATGGTACCTTGGCGGTGTTCCAATGCTGAAATTATGCAGTATACGGAAAGAAGAGCTAGCACATGTGATTGCGGTTCGTTTATTTCCCCACTGGAAATAAAAAAATATATAAGTACATATGTACATATGTGTATTTGTATTTGTTTTAATTTAAATTCTAGCACAACAATTAAACAAATTATTTTATAGCGCTAGTCCCCATACATAAATAACTAAATCTAAGAACAAAATTAGTTTTAAATTGTAGTTAATGTCTAGATGGAATTGATTTGTAATACAATAAAAGCAACGACATTTTACAGATAGGTTGCATACAAGTTTAATACAATAAAAAAATATATATTATATGAAGTAAGTAATTGTTTAGTTTAAAGAACATTAATTTATGTTCATACGTTATTATAAAAACTGGTTTATTCGTTTTTGAAGCGCGGTGCGTTATTTAACAGCCTAAGTCAAATGGGGAATGAGTTCCAAAGACGAATCGAATTTATGAAGAATTGGCGTTCAGATATGAGTAATCCACTTGCAAAGTGCGCTATGTAAATTTTTTTAGATTTTTAGTTTTTGGAGGATTACGTACCAGTATTCATAGTAGTAGCATCTCCACTAACAACACAGTGCAAAATCTTTTTATATTCTGAANATTTATTTCCCCACTGGAAATAAAAAAATATATAAGTACATATGTGTATTTGTATTTGTTTTAATTTAAATTCTAGCACAACAATTAAACAAATTATTTTATAGCGCCTGTCCCCATACATAAATAACTAAATCTAAGAACAAAATTAGTTTTAAATTGTAGTAAATGTCTAGATGGAATTGATTTGTAATACAATAAAAGCAACAACATTTTACAGATAGGTTGCATACAAGTTTAATACAATATAAAAATATATATTATATGAAGTAAGTAATTGTTTAGTTTAAAGAACATTAATTTATGTTCATACGTTATTAGTAGCATCTCCACTAACAACACAGTGCAAAATCTTTTTATATTCTGAAAAAAATAGCATCAAATGTTAACTCTTGTCCCAAAAGTCGCTATCACTCTTATTTATAAACTTTCAAAACTATACACTCTTCTGATGAACTTAAAAAAGTGCTTTAGGTCGTATAGACTGTTAATGTTATCTTATGTCATGTTATGTTATGTTACAATTTTATCAGGCTCTTATTTATCCAAATTTTCAGGTAATAAAAAAGATTCAATTTAAATGTTACTTGTTGTCGTAGTCGTTTTTTCAAATTTATGGCTTTTTATTATAAAATCATACAAGGCGAATTTATATAAGGTGGTGTTACTAGATCAGCTGATTTTGTGTATGCGTTTCGCCTCACGGCTTCTTATGTCAAATTTAAAAATTTTGTTTGAATTTCCACACACACTCTTACAGATTTTGACAGTTTATGCCGCCAAAGCAAAAACAAAATACATGTAAGTTTTTGTTTTTGTACTCATGCTATCACCTTATATAAATTCGCCTTGAAATCATATAACGCTGTTTGCAAGTGGACTACTCATATAAGAAAACGATGTTTAGTATGTACTATATGTAAGTACTGACCTCGAAGAATAAAGAAATTTAAGTCCTTGATATCAAATAAAACACCTCTTTGAGGTAAATTTTTCGAGTGACGAAAGCTAAACTAGAAACACAAAATTTATGATATCAATTTCGGGACGAAAGTTGGACTAATTTTTTTAACTGCCCTGGAAACTGACGGAAAATAGTTTTATTTATTCAGAACTTTGCAAAGTTCTGTCTATTCCTAGAAACACAAAATAAAAAAAATCGTGACTTAGGCTTAACGCTAGCTCGGTTCACCAAATATCACACTGAATGCGTACCTACATAATATATACTTATGTATATGAAAAATATGTATATACTTATTTATATGAGAACAAAGAAACCAGCAAAAATAAAAAAAAATTCTTTAAGAATTACACAGCCTACAAATTANGTCCCAAAAGTCGCTATCACTCTTATTTATAAACTTTCAAAACTATACACTCTTCTGATGAACTTAAAAAAGTGCTTTAGGTCGTATAGACTGTTAATGTTATCTTATGTCATGTTATGTTATGTTACAATTTTATCAGGCTCTTATTTATCCAAATTTTCAGGTAATAAAAAAGATTCAATTTAAATGTTACTTGTTGTCGTAGTCGTTTTTTCAAATTTATGGCTTTTTATTATAAAATCATACAAGGCGAATTTATATAAGGTGGTGTTACTAGATCAGCTGATTTTGTGTATGCGTTTCGCCTCACGGCTTCTTATGTCAAATTTAAAAATTTTGTTTGAATTTCCACACACACTCTTACAGATTTTGACAGTTTATGCCGCCAAAGCAAAAACAAAATACATGTAAGTTTTTGTTTTTGTACTCATGCTATCACCTTATATAAATTCGCCTTGAAATCATATAACGCTGTTTGCAAGTGGACTACTCATATAAGAAAACGATGTTTAGTATGTACTATATGTAAGTACTGACCTCGAAGAATAAAGAAATTTAAGTCCTTGATATCAAATAAAACACCTCTTTGAGGTAAATTTTTCGAGTGACGAAAGCTAAACTAGAAACACAAAATTTATGATATCAATTTCGGGACGAAAGTTGGACTAATTTTTTTAACTGCCCTGGAAACTGACGGAAAATAGTTTTATTTATTCAGAACGTTGCAAAGTTCTGTCTATTCCTAGAAACACAAAATAAAAAAAATCGTGACTTAGGCTTGACGCTAGCTCGGTTCACCAAATATCACACTGAATGCGTACCTACATAATATATACTTATGTATATGAAAAATATGTATATACTTATTTATATGAGAACAAAGAAACCAGCAAAAATAAAAAAAAATTCTTTAAGAATTACACAGCCTACAAATTATGTATCGCGTGCAGGGAGGTCAACTCGAGGGAAATTCTCCCGAATTGCAGGGAATTTCGGTTTAGGTGACAATCGGGGATTGGACATTTTTTTGCAGCTAATTGGGTATATGTTATGTTGAGAATATAATGAAACCAAATAGACGAATATGTTAATTTTTAACCATTTGTCGCTATTTGGATCGACTTTTTTCAATTTGAATCGAAATATCTCCACAACAAGAGTTTTCCCAGACATAAGGTATATACCAAATGAAATCTAAGGTTTTGGGATAAACTTGAGGAAACTTAGAATGAAATCGACTGACCAGTTTTTGAGAAATTTTGCGAAATCTATATTTTCAGCAGCCCGATTTTTAGTTTTCAGGCGATAACGCTATGACATATTTATATTTCATAAACACAACTGATATACACATCAATGGTATGGAATGAGTAGTGCGGCCTCAACGATAGTTTAAAAAATTGCCTGTCTTTAGCCGGAACTCAATATATAAGGTATCGTTGGAAAGGTATTCACCTATAGTATAACACTAAATATCTCGGGTGTACCCACTTTTTGCAAAAGCAAAATGTTTTTTGTTTCGCAACACTATAGCCTAATTTTTAAGAACCCGGTTAATTGTTTATGAAGCTGGAATCCATTTTCTGAACACATTCTGCAACGATACCTCAAACATGTCGATTGGACGTCTGGATAAAAACTTCCAAATCACGTGTATATATAAGCGAGTCATTTCAGCATGCTACTGTGGCTGCTTTCGTCACTCGCGCGCACTGCCGTGCGCTGTGATAGATACTGAGACTCCTTTGTGTTAGCTGGTGACAATGTCATGCAGGTGTACTCCTATCAAAGACTTATAACAGACAATGTCTTGCAGCGGTCACTTATAAAAACTTCATTGCAGGACATTGTCGCTTGAATGTCATCAATGATCACTGCATGGCAAAGTCATGCAGATGACATCAACGACGAAATTACCATTTATATGAAAAAGTCATTTAAGACGTAACTTTTCCGTACAAGACTCTTAAGTGACTAATGCATGACATTCGCTACGGGGTTGATTTCAGAATGCTTACACATTGAGAAGTTAGCATTACTGTCAATATAGAAGTATTACTTAGATGCCATAGCTACGGTGACCATATTTTTTATTTTAACCTCCTGTTCTTTTTCAAAATAAAGGGCGCCTTTTCTTCTTAAACTGCTCTTTAAATGAGCTCTGTAATTTTCAGAGGTAAATTTTTTATCGTTATTTAATCGGTAATCTTTGTAAAATCTATAAATTACGGATCATTGCTAATACTGATAGGGGGAATTTATATAATTGAATACAAAAATTAACTAATGGCGATTTCGGTTCTACAAAAAATGTTGCCTTTTCATCGCCCTCTTCTTAGCGTTTTTGCGTAGAGGGCAAAAAGTGGGCTGCATTTTTCGGTAGAAACGAAATCGGCATAATATTTAGACATTTTCCTAAAAAAATTAATATACTTTGAGTAAAATTCATTGTTCTCAAAAGCTCGGGGAAAGTTGTACCCAGGATCGTGTTGCACGTTGAGTTTACAGTTCCACTTCGTCTAGTAGTATAAATTATAATAGACGTATTTTGGCTGCAAAGGAAGGCGAAGTCCTTCATAAGGATTTGGTTTAATTTTTCGGAATCGGGGAACTTGTACAATTAAATAACATAATTAACTGGTAAATATTTGATTTATATCACGATATGCTTAAGGTTCTTGTATCACTGAAGTTGTATGTACGTACTCCCAAATCATTTTAATATTTATTTATTTATTTATTTATTTTTAGCTACTTAAGCAACCCTGTTGGTATGTGGCAAGAAACATGTGCTCAGTTTAATGTGATTTACGGTTCTCTTCTGTATCAGTGACGAATTCTTGTCACAGTTCTGTCCGTCTTTGCATACGATAATTCGAGTAAAACTTTAGATACCGTAATGAAACTTAATACGTGTATTTCTTTTCAGTAAGGACGGATGGTATTGAAAATAGGCAAAATCCGACAGTTACCACACCTACCTCCCATGTGTTGGGGAATATCCACGTTAAGGCCCCTATGGCCGGCCGTGCAACCAAATGACGAGATCTGTCAGGATTTATGTTTATGCCCCAACAAGGTTTTTATTTTGTGTGTTGTTTTAATGTTTTAATAGTTTACAGTTTAAAGTATAATAATAAGAATATATGTATAGTAAATTAAGTATTTAATGAATTCTCCGCGATACGGTAGCGGACGTTGAATGCGGCGTTGAACGACGATCGTAGACTACTACTTCTTCTCCTTGTTCGTGTCTATGTCTACAGGGTGATTCGGGTAGTTCGTTTATTCGCATTGGGGTGATTCATTTATAGCAATGGGGTGATTCATTTATAGTCGTTATCCACAGTGGAGCGATTCGTTTACAGCATGTAACGGTAGTTTGCAAAAATACATAAGCTGCGATAAATCAGTAACTACTGAAGCTCATTTACTCAAATTTGATGTTTACAATGGGCGTAGCCCCGCCCACTTATTATTACTTGTGTACATCTCGGTAATGGACCCACCAATTTCTCCTAAACTTGGCACAGTGTTGGCC